GTGTGTGTGTGTGTGTGTGTGTGTGTGTGTGTGTGTGTGTGAGAGAGAGAGAGAGAGAGAGAGAGAGAGAGAGAGAGAGAGAGATGTGATGTGAAGAGAGAAAAACAGATCTCACCAAACTATGCCCAATTACTGAATTTGGGGAGTTGGAGCTATAGTTGGCCTATTTCTAGGAAGTACTGTTCACCTCTCTACTCCAGCTTTTTTCAAAGAAATTAGTTTTTTACCACAACACAGAGTTGAACATTTTTATTTTGTTTTGTTTGTGTTTTAGATATGTTGGAGAGGGGTGGTTTCGTGGAGCTTACTTTTTGTTGCGGGGGTAGGAATACATATTTGAGTACATATTTTCAAAGGTTTAATAGCGTCTTTGGGGGCTCTTAAAAAATAGCTAAACTTGTTCTTTTTTTTTATGACTGCGGTTCTTTGCTGTCCCTATGCTTAATTGTCCTGAAAAATTTGCTGTGAGTTTACGGCTTGATAAGCTGTCTATAGTGTGCTTGCACACAATCATGCTCACAGACAACTATTTGTGCACAGCTAATTTGAAGCTTGTGGAGACTTTTTGCCCATTGAAGTTAAGACTGAGGAACCAGGCTGACAATACTGGAAAACTGGGACCTCATTACACTAAGCCCAGGCTGCAAGGGTTCAAATACCCTGCAATCTAGAACTTAAACTTGTCTCTGTCTTAAAGACAGTATTTTCCTACGTCTTCTTTAGAAGAATGTCTATTCAGGTCCTTTGCCCATTTTTTATTCAGACTGTTTTTTGGTTTGATTTTGTTTTTGCTATTGAATTGTAGGAGTTCCTTATATTGTTTTGGATAATAACCTCTTCTCAGATATATAGCTTGCAAATATTTTCTTTCAGTTTGTGATTGTTTCCTATATACTTTGATGCAGTCCCATTTGTTTACTTCTGCCTTTGTTGCCTTTTGGTATCGGATCCAAAATATCATTTCAAAGGCCAATGTCAAATGTATATTCTTGGCATCCTTGTTGAAAATTCACTGACTACTTATGCTTTGGTTTATTTCAGGGTTTTAATTATGTTCCATTGCTTTGTCTATCTGTTTTCATGCCAGTAGCATACTGATTTGATTACTATAGCTTTGTAATATAATTTGAAAGCCAGAAATATGATGCCTCCAACTTTTTTTTTCTCAAGATTTTAGCTACTTGAGATAGTTTTTTCTATTTCTGTGAAAAATGCCATTGGAATATTCGTAGGGATTGCTGAGTCTATACATTACTTTGGGTAGTATAGACATTTTAACAACATTAACTCTTTCAGTCCATGAAGATGGGCTATGTTTCTATTTGTTTATGCCTTCTTCTGTTCTTTTCATCAGTGTTTTATAGTTTTCAGTGTACAAATCTTTCTCTGCCTTGATTAAATTTATTCCCAAGTATTTTATTCCTTTTGATGCTATTATAAATTCAAATTTTTCTTAATTTCCTTTTTTATTAGATCATTGTTAGTATAAAGAGATTCATCTGATTTTTGTATATTGATTTTGTGTCCTAGAACTTTACTGAATTTGTTAGTTCTAACAGGATTTTTTGATAGTTTATAGAGTCTGTAGGGTTGTCTACATATAGAATCATGCCATTTGCAGAGATAATTTTACTTCTTCATTAACTACTTGGATGGCTTTTCTTTTTCTTGACTCATTGCTCTTGCTTGCACTTCTAGTACTTTGTGGAACAGAAGTGGCAAGAGTGAGCCCCCTTGCCTTACACCAGATCATAGAGGAAAAGAAAAACCTTCAGTTTTTCCCCATTGATTGTGATGTTAGCTGTGGCTTTTCATAAATGGCCTTTATTGTGCTGAGGAAATTTTCTTCTCTATTTTGTTAAGAGTTTTTGTCAGGAATGGATGTTGAACTTGTCAAAGAAGACATAGAGATTGCCAACAGGTATATGAAAAGATGCTCGATGCCATTAATCATCGGGGAAATGCAAACTGAAACCACAATGAGGTATCACCTCACAAATGTTAGGATGGCTATTTTCAAAAAGATAAGCGATAACAAGTACATAATGGCAAGAATGTGGAGAAAAGGGAACCCTAGTATACTACTGGTGAGAATGTAAATCGGTACAGCTATTGTGGAAAACAGTATGGAGATCCCTCAAAAAAAAAAAAATTAAAATAGAACTACCCTATGATCCAACAGTCCCTCTTCTGGGTATATATTCAGAGGAAATAAGATCAGTGCCACAGTGAGATATCGGCACCCCCATGTTCACTGCAACATTATTCACAGTAGCCAAGATGTGGAAACAATCTAAATGTCCATCAGTGGATGAATGTACTTTAGAATATTATTCAGCCTTTAAAAAAGGAGATCTGCCATTTATGACAACATGGATTAACCTGGAGGACATTATGCGAAATGAAATAAGCCAGACACGGATGTATTGCATGATCTCACTTATATGTGTATCCTAAAAAGTTCAAAGCATAGAAGCACAGAGCAGAATGGTGGTGCCCAGGAGTGGGAGGGTGGAGGAAGTGAGGAGCTGTTGGTTAAAGGGTACAAAGTTGCAATATGTAGGGTGAATAAATCTAGAAATCTAATGTACAGCATGATGGCGATAGTTAACAACACTGTATTAAATATTGGAAATTTGCTAAAAGAATAGATTTCAAGTGTTCTCACCACACACACACAAAATTGTAATTACATGAAGAGATGGATATGTTAATTGGCTTGATTTTAGTAATCATTTCACTATATATATAATTAATAATGTCCTAATATTGAACAACTCTTCCAAAAAATCATGTTGTATACATTAAACAATTTTAACTTTCTTTTAAAAAGTGGGGTTTTTTAAATCTTTATTTACACTTTAAGTAACTTGACATGATAATCCAGTTGCTTCCAGCTCCAGATATGATATAGTCTTTAAAGTACTACAACTGGCATGTTGGTCCTTTGCTGTGCCGTGAAGAGAGACAAACATTTCTGCATTTGTCCCTCTTTATTCTCCGTGGGTCATAAACCAAGGCCTTAGCCCCTGGACAGTTCAAGCATTGTTTAGTTTCCCATCTCTATTTGCCAGTAGCCATTTAGATTGCACAGAAGGAAAAATCGTGTCAATATGCTGTTCCCGATTGTAGCAATGATCTGTTTTATCTCTGGCAACAAAATTCTGGATTGGCGGCAGCCAGGGATTCAAGACCTACATAAGCAACATGTATCTATCATACTAGTAACAAAAATATAATGCTGAAAATTATAATTACCTGTTCACAGTCCCTGGCATAGTACCTTAGGGTTAACAGAATGCTTTTCACCTGCATTGTCTCATTCAAATTACACCCACACCCTGTGAAATAAGTCGTAGTAGTATCCCATTTTACAGTGAAGAGAGGGGAACTGAACGAGACTGGAAGACTGTCCGTGGTCACACAGTCATGAAGCAGAAAAGAGGTCCTGAACATCGTTCTTCTGATCCCAAATTTCAGTGTTTTTTCATTCTGCCTGAAACTTGAACTTAATTCAGGTATGGGAACTAAGCTGATAAAATTCTGGTCTAGAGTAGGAATAAGACAAACTTGCTTTAAAGTATTTTATTTATTTATTTATTTATTTATTTATTTATTTTTGAGAGAGAGAGAGAGAGAGAGAGAGAGAACCAGCAGGGGAGGGGCAGAAAGAGAGAGCGATAGAGGATCTGAAGCAGGCTCTGTGCTGACAGCAGAGAGCCCAGTGAGGGACTTCAACTCACAGCTGAGATCATGACCTGAGCTGACGTCAGACGCTTAACATACTGAGCGACTCAGGTGCCCCGAGACAAACTTGCTTTTAAGAGTTAA